TCCAACAGTTTTTTTTTTTGTAATAACTTTTCATAGAGACGTCAGACAAGCTAGAGCGGTAAAAAATGTGTTCAGGTCGTCGATACGGATCGACTGATATGCAACATGACCCTTTCCGGTCAGGATATGGCCTTGACCCAATGTCAAATTTTTCAAGTTAATCTTTAACCCGCGCCCCGTTGGGGTCTGCCGAGCAACGCTGGGGGGGGGGGGGCATTTTGCCCGCCCCCCCCCCTAAGATCTCGAGAACCACGGAACCTAGCGACAAGCAGCAAACGGCGTTGGATAGCCCCAATGGGGAACTAACTACCTTGTGACCAAATTTCATTGGCAACGGTCAAACCAATGACGTCACAGGTCAGGTCAAAGGTTGAATTTTCACCGTGTACAGGCATTTCAAGAAATGCGTTGTAAAATCGAGTAAAATGCATGTCATTGAAAATCATCGATGGGGAAATGTTCTTCAAACACATATTTTGCTATTTGAGGTCACTGATACCAGGTTAGGTCACAGAGGTCAGGTCACTGGGGGAGGGGGGGGGGGTCACAATATGAAAGTGTCGTGTGATACATGTTTTATGGTCCATTTGACATGACAAATGCGATTATGTGGGTCAGGCAGACTTTTGGGCCAGTTTAGGTCACGTTTTGGTCAAGGTCAGGTCAAATTAGGTCAAATTTCCAAGTTGATATTTTTGCATAAAATGGGTATTGATTCGATGCAGCTCGTCACGGGGAGTTCAATGGTGGTCTTTGTTTTGCCCTACGTGGTCTAGAATCGCTAAAAATTGAGTTCAAAAATTTGACGTCATCATTTTTGAACAGTTTTTTCGCTATAACTTGGCCAAAAAACGAGATATCGATCTGAAATTTGGTATGTATATAGAAGAGTACAGGGACTATCATATATCTTCCGTTTTTCGAAATTCGGAAAAAATTGGATTTTTAAAGTTTTTCTGAAAACATCATTTTTTGATTTTTTTTTAGGTCAAAAACCCAAAATTTTGAAAATCCGAGGTAGCAGTTTTGTACCGCCACTTTTTGTCTACTAGACCATATACCTAAAGAACTTTGAAATTGCTTGGTAACTGTAAATTTGGTGAGCGTTTCAAGATTGCATGTTTTTTGCTAATTTTTGCTCGAACATGACCTCAGTTTGACCTCAATTACTCCCGACCTAAGGTGACCTAAGACTTGAAATTCGGTGTGAAGGTGTCAAATTGATGCCCAGGAAGGTACTGAAAATTTGGCGGCGCTGCGCGCCGCCCTTTTCTTGCTAGGGGAGAGCGGGGAGAGTTGTATCATGTCCAAGTTGTATCAGGGCGAATTGTGCCAAACTTATGCAATAGATGGCGCTCGTGACACGACCAGCCGACGAGGTTTTCCGGGCGCCAACTTTCCCTGTTCTGTCGTGTGGCTGGGTGGACGCGTCTCGAGGTGAGAGCCGATTTTATGTTTTTTAATGTCATTCTAAAAAAGTAAGTTGTAAGAAAATGTGTGTTTTGGGCATTTAGATGTGCGTGAATTTGAAAGATCTCCATAGCGGTGGTGAGGGTAGGTTCTAAGGCTGCGTGAGTGAAAATCGATTTATCCAGCTGTCTGCTGTTTTTGAGCACGAGGATGTTTTTCCAAGATGGCGGCGAGGTACATGTTGTATCAGAGCCGGGTGGGGTATGTTGTAACATGTATATATGAATGTATGTATAGGTATGTTTCTTTTGATCGCGAAAGCTAAGCCCTGGCTTGCGTTTGTAGGTAGCTAGTCGATACTCGTTCCATTTCGGCACAATGTGTTGGCTTCTTTGCTCTTAACGGGCCACTTTTGCGTCTAGTCTGTTGATGTTCGTTCGTTTCGATGTTTCGTTCGGATTGCAATGACCTAAGTTTGGTCTAATGCCTAAAAGTGAAGCTTTTGGGCATATACATTGTATTAACCCCATTTAAAGGAAATAGTTCACTTTTTAACATGGGTTTTGAACTGGAATAGCAGTTCCGTAGCTTGGGCTGAGACGAGCATAAATCAGGAGCTTTTACAGCCCAACGATCACCCTAGGCAAAGATATTCTATTTCTCGTCCCAGGATGTGTGCCTTGCATATATTCGCATCCAGTATGAAAAGAGCATGGGTCCCGAAAATTCTTCAGAAACTAGTGAAATTATCTACGAGAACTCAAGAGAAATTCTCGTACTGATCAATAAGGACATTCAGCAGCAGCAGATCGCCCAAATGCCGGTGGCCGCGATAATTTCTCTAGTTTCTGAAGAATTTTCGGAACCCATGCTCTTTTCATACTGGATCGCCTGTGCCTTACAGAAACTGAAAAGTTCTTCTTATATCAAAATATAGAAAATAATCTTTTGTTATAAATAGGTTTTATTTTCTTTGCTGATCATTTTGAACATAAAAAATCATAAATCCATTGCAAAAAAAATAATTTCGTGAAAGTGAACTATTTCCTTTAATGTTGTTGTTATGTTCAAAACCAGTAGCAAGCACACTCCCTGAAACGTGAAATACCTAGTGATACAACTTACCCCACCATGTGATACAACTCACCCAAGCCATGGGGCAAGTTGTATCAAAAACATTGTTCTATTCGGCAGACCATAGAAGAAAAACTGGTAGAGGTAGCGGAAAAGTTACTTTGCACAAAAAAGCAGAAGAATCAAGGAAGGAGATAGTATGGAAATAATGAGTTTATCACGGATAGTTACGAGGTTATGGGTCTCGGAGTAAAAACTGATACAACCCACCCCACTCTCCCCTATTCAGGAAAAACCACAGGGGGGCCAAAATGGCCCCCCAACGGGGCGAGGGTTAAGGCTAGTGTTATTCAGCGTCAACTTTTGCTTATCCTGAGAGACTGATGATCCTCCAGTCTGCATCTACGAAACTCTAGGCAGTGCTTTGTCATTTTAAGGCACGCGCGGCACACGTATATATCCTGAGTGGTATATTGTTCTGTTTTGCTTTGCTTTTTTAAAGGGTCCCTCCCACCTTCAAAAAAGTTTATGAATTGACATGAAAGTGATGTCGCTCGGTTCAGAAAGAGCGAAAACGAATATCTAGCAAATTTCACCGGAAAATATTCACCGGTTTTCAAGATATTAGACTTTTACTTTTGTTTATTTTTTGGGGATCTCCGCTGTTTCTAGCGACTTTATTTTAGAAGTGCGGCGTTTGCGGCAGATGTTGCGCGCAAATAGCATATACCACCGCACTGAACTCTATAATGTGGAATGCGCATCGGCCGCCAAATGGTGTCCAACGGTGCCGCCATGTTGCGCAGACCAGAAAGCGGCCGCCGCCTGTGCTGGGGAATAGGGAATTCGGGACCTCGATTTACGTTTGCGGTCGCTGCATCCGTTACGCTCAAGCTATGTGGACACGGAACCCGGCATCTTACGCAGAATTGAGTGGAGAACAAGATGAAATCCTAAAAAATCATCAGCTATAAGGAACTAATACGTTAAACCCTTATAAGTCAATGGGGAAATATGAAAATTGTTATTTTGGCGCCGAGAATGATCTGAAACTATCTCAAGCATATAAAATCATGATTTCATGCACTCTTTGCAAGGTTCTATGCTTCATATTTGCATTGTTGCCCTTGCGTGACGTCATTTGTGACGTCACAAGGGTCACCATTTTTCTTCAATAACTCCCGATCAAATTGAGCTAGCGAGTCGGGAAAGCCACCAATGGACTCAGGAAGACCTGCCGAATCGAATGATATGCGACATGACCTCTTTCGACCAACTTCGTGACCTGGGGGTGCTGACCTGACCTTGACCTGAGGTCAGCACCCTAAGTTGACCTGACCCGAACAAAAAGTATATCACTCGATGCGCCTGAGCTAGCTGAACACGATGATGCCAAAATCGCGGCTCTACGGCCATTTTTGGCGAAGTTATTTACCAAAAAGCGAACCCGTGCCTTAGATCACTTGACCTGACCTCAGAGGTCACCGGTTGACCTGAGACCCTTACAGCGGGTTCCTAACAGTCACTCTGCGTTATACTTTGCCGCATACGACCACTTTACCGCTTAATTCTAGTTTAATTAGCGGTGCATTAGCGAGGTGGGTTCAATCAACCCCCTCGGCCGGGGCAAATGTAGGTCAGGCGAGTGAATTTGAGGAATTCTGAAGATACGATCGTGTTCCCCACTCAATTCTGCGTAAGATGCCGGGTTCCGTATCTACGTAACATGAACGTAACGGATACGGCGGCCGCAAACGTAAATCGAGGTCCCGAATTCCCTATTCCTCAACACAGGCGGCAGCCGGTTTCTGGTCTGCGCAATATGGCCGCCACCGTTAGACACTACGGCCAATACGATGTAAAGCCTATATCTTGTTTTTCCACTGACGAAGGCACTTTGTTGTCGAAACGTCTGGTCTTATTACATTGTTTTTGTACCTATTGTCATTGTCTGTGAGAAAAACGAAATGTCTGACTCTTCTAATATGACTCTTCTAATAGGGTTGAAGCGGCATTGCTCCCCTGTGTACCACCGCCTGCTACAAAACGTTTTAGTCAAACATTTAAAAATCGTTAGATATCATTTTGCGCTGACGTCACACATTCAGAGGGGTATTCCCATTGCCTTGGGTATTCCTAAGCATTAGCCCCTCTGAATCAAAATGCTGCAATTTTGAAATTTAATATTTCCGATTTAAGGCATGTCTCGATGTTGTGAGTGCCGAAACCGGTAATTGTGAGCCAGGGACCCCATTTTGGCTATCTCAACTCAAATCTAATGTTAAGGTGGGAGGGTCCCTTTAATAGAGCTGTATTTTAGCACGCCAGTCATGAAGAAAAACAGAAAGCTTGGTGAATGAACTACATGCGCCAATAATTGTCGTGTTCGAAAATTCCGTAACCGCACTTCGGGTCAAGCAGTCCTGCTTTTTATTTGTCGATAGCGGCTCACGCAGATAGATTTCGTAAGTTACTTTCAATTAGAACATGAGGCCAATGTATTTTCTGTGAAAAGTGACAGCTCATTGTCCTAGAAATCTGCAGTGTTTTGTTTGTTTGCAAGTCATTGTCGGTCCTTGTTTTCTGTGTTGGCAAGGCGGAAGGCTGTAGAATTCCTGTGTTGGTGTAGGTGCTGTGGTCCTGTGGTCTGCTCTGTAAGGATCTTGGTCCGGTCAGAGCGCATACTTGGAGTTGGGCGCATCTCTTTGTTGGGATTTTGAAACAAATTAAAGAAAATCTGTATCAAAATATCAATTAATTCTGAGGATTGTGAGCTTTGTTCCTGCTTAAATGTTTTTAAGCTTTTGTTTCTTGCTGCCTATGGCGTAGTTAGGCACCTATCTATGGTAAATGTCAAGTTTAAGTCCTAAGAAGATTTCATTGATAAATTTTTCATATTCTTACCTTATTTGACATCCTGAATCCAAAAATGATACTCATTTGTCTCGCAAATAAAAGAAAAAACATAATCAAACCTGACCTAACCTTACCTACTTACCTATAACCTACCAACCTACAACCTACAAACCTACCCTAACCTAACCTAACCTACAAACCTACCTACCTACAACCTAAAACCTACAAACCTACAACCTAACCTAACCTAAAACCTAAAATTTTTGCTGTTTCATATTTGTATCAACAGCGTCACAATTGTAGTTAGGACCTAAACTTGACATATACCCCTATCTAGTGGCTAGCTGGGATTTTTACATTCATTCATTCACAAAACTTGTGAACCAGAACTGGCTTTAAGCAGGCATCTTGCTTGCATACTTTTAACAGTCCAAGGTGCGGTGATATAGGTATTTGTTACCAAGCCTGTGGTCTTAATTCTGCTGACCCAGACTGGAAAAAAAATACACGTTATGCCGAATATGTCTGGCGTAGTGGCGGGATTGCGCCGAAAACTTCAGCGCACGTTCGGCGTAACTTCGCATGCGCCCCAGTCTCCCAGTTGCTTCTGTGCCTGCTGCTCACCGGCCTGTTTGATATTTTCCAGGTGTGCTCAGTGCAGCCATGCGTCTGACTGTGACAACTGTTTCTGGGGAGTTGTACCAGCTGGACGTCAGCGATGATCTCGAGCTGGAGAACCTCAGGGCTTTTGTTCAGGTAGGGCGACGGGCTGTGTAAGCATATGTATTGCAGGGGGTGGAGAAGCAGTAACGGTCATTAACCTGACCTAATAGAAGGTTAGTTTGGTCTTGACCTTGTATAATTTAGTTTCACTGTGACATTGCTACTGCGACATGTGCTGCTATGGTGCATTAGCCTCATTGACCTGTGCTCAGTTGGTACAGCGTTGGACTCCCGGTAGCGAGAGCCCAGTCTCGAGTCGATTCGACGCTCGACATTTGAGACTCCTGACGAGATGGTTTGCGGTTGGTGGGAGCAGCCGCAGCCAGTTGAAGTCAGATGAGTGGGACAGGCCGTGTCCGGCTTTGAAGGGCACGAACTTAAACTATCCCGTTACCCGGCATTGCGCGATCGGACTGTAAGAGTCGGGGTCTACGCAACAAGTTCTGCTTTGCAAAGGCTCTGGCTCTGTCAATCCATCCATTCAAACATTTCAGCCAAACTTATATTAAAAATCCAGCAATATCTAGTCATTTTCATCAGGTGCCATTGGTTCACTGTGCCCGGAACCGGTCTCTGATGTACCGAACACGGATCGTACACCGCACCGCCTGACGGTGCCACGTTTCCTGCCCTCCAGGTGGAGACGGGTATCAGCTCGGACCAGATGATTCTGCTGCACGACGGCCGCCGGCTGACGGACGACAAGAAGAGCCTGCGCGACACCGGCATCAAGGAGGACGACGTGCTGCTGGTGGAGGCGCTGCAGCCGCCGGCCGCGCCGCCCGTCCAGCCGCAGACAGGTACGGACGAGTCGGAGGGGGGGGGGGGGGGGCAGGGGACAGTTACTGATATGAAGAAGCAGTGGTGGGATAGGGCTTACCGTCATCGAGGAAAGAGAGAAGCAGAGAGTGGGAAGGGAAAGCATTGCCTTCACGTGGTTAAACATGGGAGAGCAGTAGGGTTGGTGGAACAAGTGGAAGGAGCTGGTTACCATCTGAGCGTATTACAGAATACGGACTGGGACCGAATTTGGTAAGGAATATGGTTTGCGATGTTTAAAGTTTGTTAGTAGGTAATGCAGAATATGTATTGTGTGCTTTAAATTGCTCAGATTGTGTAAGCGAAAGCAATTGGTGTAAACCTAGCGTTAGATGCTGATGGGTGCTCCCGAACATTTTTGCTCGTAATATCACGTCGGGGTAAGACTGGTTCCTCGCTGTCCTAGCGGCGTGATACACATCCTCAGTTTGCTGTCTGTCCGACAGGTGGCGGCAGCGGCGCGACGGCGGCTCAGCAGGACGACCCGCGCTTCATCCGTGACATGTTCCTGGCCAACCGCGACCAGCTGGCACTGCTCAAACAAAACAACCCGCGCCTGGCCGACGCCCTGCTCAGCAACGATCTCGGTCAGTCGGCATGTAGAGGGTTAGGATGGGATGGAGTGTCTCTGAGCTGCTAAGTTCGGAAGTGGTGAGGAGTGTCCTTGATGAACCCTGCGTCACTCACCGTTCGTTCAGTTGGGAAGGAAAGTCAAAGGTGATTATTATCGAAAATGAGTAGAATGGTACTAATGTCAAAATCGTCACTACTTCGTACTGAATGATGAATTGATCGTGAACGGTTTGTTGTCCCCCGTCCGCCGTAGATCAGTTATCGATTCCCCTGTCGTTATAAACAGAGCGGCTGACGCTCTCCTTGTCCCCTACACAGAGCGTTTCACGGCGGTGCTGAACGAGCAGCAGAAGGCGCGCGCCGACCGCGAGCGGATGCGCATGCGGATGCTGTCGGCGGACCCGTTCGACGCCGAGGCGCAGCGGCTGATTGCCGAGGAGATCCGCCAGAAGAACATCGACGCCAACATGGAGGCGGCGCTGGAGCACCACCCGGAGAGCTTCGGATCCGTGGTGATGCTGTACATCAACTGCCGCGTCAACGGACACCCCGTCAAGGCCTTCATCGACTCGGGTCAGTCGCTGACGCAGGCACTGTTTCACTCATTCACAGCCATAGTCAGTCGGGCTTAAAAGGAAGTGGTGGAATGGGAAGGGGAGACGCTGTCTATGACACCTGGTGAAAGGATTCACTGAGATGGATAAGTCGCCTATCCTCGTTACTGAGACGCTGTTCATTAAGTAGTTACATAGGTACTTGCGATTGTATTTTGTGCAGCATTCGAATGTATTAGCCTTGGGCATCCCCATCAGCCCTTTCCCCGCTGTCTGTTGCATTACTCAGTGGTTCGGTGGTTGCGATGCCATATAGGGATGAGGACCCCTCAATCATGCATCAGTGCGTGTGACGACCGTCGTCTCCCCCTACAGGCGCCCAGACGACCATCATGTCAGCGGCGTGCGCAGAGCGTTGTCACATCATGCGTCTGGTGGACACACGCTGGTCCGGGGTGGCCAAGGGCGTCGGCACCCAGCGCATTCTCGGGCGGGTGCACATGGGACAGATCCAGATCGAGGACGTGTTCCTGACGTCGTCGTTCTCTATCCTGGAAGAGCAGCCCATGGACATGCTACTCGGACTGGACATGCTGAAGAGACATCAGGTGAGACGGCAGTCTGTCCTGTCCAGCTCGTGTACGGCTCTCCAGCAAGAATGGCTGGTCAGCCGATTTGTTTTGGGATAATGACTTTAAATGACACAAACACTTCAGTAAAATTACTCTACTTAATTCACTTGATCCACTTAACCACTTGGTCCTTGGAAGGCCGTAATGTCTAGCATTTGCACCTTCGATTCTCGCCCGTGTCAATATTACGTTTCTGTATATTCTCCCTCCGTCGTCCTGTCATTCTGGGTGTGACCTGCCTCTCAACAGCCTCTGACTTGTTCTCTCTTCTCAGTGTCTGATCGATCTGAAGGCAAACGTGCTACACATCGGCACCACGTCCACGAGCACGCCGTTCCTCTCGGAGTCTGATCTGCCGCCGTGCGCGCGGCTCAGCGGCGGCACGGAGTCGGCCGGCGAGCCCATGGAGACGGCCGACGCCGAGATGGCGCGCGCTCTGAGAGAGAGCGCCGCCGCTGCCTCCGCCGGTGAGTGCCGTGGTGACCGCGACTGCGCAGAGCATATGGTTAAAGTCTAGGGCTTGGTAGGGGTAAGGCTTTTGGGCTTGGCTAGGCTGTTGAATTTGTTTACGCTTAGTAGCTGTGCGAATGCTATGCTATCTTTACTTTGGCTCCTACCTTAAAAGTAGTGTTTGGGATGAAATGATCAAAAGTCGTTTATCATCTAATGCCATGCTCAAGGCTCATGCTTGACGTATGAGCACATAAAAGTAATGTACAATAATTTAGAGGGTCGGGTAGAGTCGCACTGCTAGTCTTTCCCCCTCGCCATTGCCGCTCTGCTGCTGCGTTTCGCTAGAGCGCCTCTCTGTTGCAGCCGCGTCGGGCGCGGCCGGTCCGTCCGCCCCCACCCCCGCTGCCGCCCCCGCTCCCCCCTCTGCTGCTGCTGCTGCTGCCCCGGCCGCCCCCGCCCCCGCCGCCGCCGCCGCCACCGGCGCTGGAGATCAGCTGACGCCTACCGACAAGTTTTCCGAGGCTGACGTGGCGTCAATAGTCAAACTGGGATTCACACGTCAGCAGGTATGTGATACGCCGGTGTTCCGATTGCAGTGTATCGCTAGTTACCATCCTGTCTTAGTTGGTGCTGTAGTTCTTTTGACTACTCCCAAGGCATTCCTAGGTCCTGTCGTAGATGCAAACCGCAGTTGCTGCTAGTTCAGCATTGTCGTAGCGGTGTCGTAGAGTGCTCTTTCGCCAAAAGGACGACCACATTTTTAACCACGAATAAATTAATCTTCGTTTGTTTAGCTTTTCTCAACCGTGCTTGTAAAACTGATTCTTTCACTCTCCTCTCTTGCTCTCTTCCCCTCTTCCTCCATCTTCTCCCATCCTCTTCGTTTATCCATTGAACTAACCGCACTGCTGTTCCTTACAGGTCGTCCAAGAGCTAAGAAGGTTTAACGGCGACACGACCCAGGCGACGGGCGCGCTGCTGGCCCGCTCGCTGCAGCTGCCCAAGCCCTGACACCGCCTGCCACCCGGTGGGGCTGGGGTGACGGGGAGGCCGGGCACCGACCGTCGCCCGCGATCTGACTATGCGTCCGTCCAGCGGTGGCGACGGCCGGGAGGGAGGGAATGGACGGGGTTTTAAGGGACTGACGGACCTGGGGCGAACTGAGAGACCGTTGGGCTCTGACAGTCATAATATGACCGGCGGGAGGGTGGAACTACGGCAGGGCTGCGATGAGACTGTCGCGGGGCTTTGGTTGGACTGTGACGAGCCGTAACTGGATGTGGCGTGGTCGGCATTTGGCCAGTGGAGCCGGTGTGGGATTCTCAGCCCGTCCTCGGCGTATGACCGTGTTCAAAGGGCGGCAGTGTGAAGCGGGTGGGTCAAACCACGTCCCGTCCCGGCCACCGACCGACAGACAAATCACCGAGTGGATGTAATTGGCTGTTTACTGCCGCGAGGCCCCTCCACAGGAGCTATCAGTTTTGTATGCGAAATAATACTTTTGCAATCGTATGTCAAAAATCATGAAATGTAGACAGGCGACGGCCAGATCATGATATTCCATCTCTGGGTGTTTCACGACTGTTCGCGAATACCTCATCTCAAATATCTCAAGTAGGCTACAAAGGAGCACAATCAATTTCATGCATCTGCGTATTATGTTCCATGATGGTGTTGAGCAGTGAGCTCTTTCCAGTGTACGTGAAAACCATATTTAAGCGTGTGCATTTCAATATATAACGTGACTGATTTTTGTGAACTGGCTCAATGGGGGATTGCTGAAAATTGCTTTAACCCGCGCCCGGCTGGGGGTCCTGGATTTCCACGCCCTGCTGGGGGGGGGGTGTGTTTGAACACCCCCCCCCCCCTTCCAACTCGGCTCCTGGGCCACGTAGCGATACGCGGAAGGCGGCGTTCGAAAAAGCGTCAAAAATAATGAGGAAATCGCTTCGGTCAATTTTTTGGTCAGGTCAAAGGTCAGGTCACCAGAGGTCATTGAAGGCAAAATTTCGCCGATTTCCAGGTCGAATGTCGACAATTTCCAAGAAGCCAACGCATAACTCGGGAACCAATAGAGCTACAGCGCCGCGGAAAAGCGCATTCGATAGCCCTATTAACGCCCTTTCTGAGTAAGCTTCTCAGATTTGACCTAACGTCAACGGTTTTGCCTGCAGGGGGCAAAAACGGCAAAAATAGCCGATTTTTTTCGGAAACAGCTTTTCTGCGATAACGTTTGACCCAAGACTTGAACGTGCTTACTTTTACCGGCATCGTGTTCCTCTCGTCAAGACGCATCGAATGAACTATAACTTGACCTTGAAAGGTCAACTTGAAAATTTGACCTCAGGTCAAGGTCATGACCTGACCGGAAAGGGTCATGTTGCATATCAGTCGATCCGTAACGTCGAGCTGAACACATCTAAGGCGTTTTCATCGCTCTAGCATGCCTCTATCAAAAGTTATTTGCGAAAAACTGTTAGATACCATTCGTGACCTAAGATGACCTCAGGGCATAAACAGGGGTCACGGACACCATTTTCATGTTCAGTGTGTCTAAACCACTTGTAATTCAGTGTTTGGGAGTGTTTATAATGTCTTTTGTCCAAAAGAGGCGCATTTCAATTTTCTCCCATTGACTTATAATGGGGAGGTCGCAGAATTGACCTGACCTTAGGTCATCGATATCAAAATTCTGAGGTATACATTTTGTACATGCTATTGCTCTTAGCAATCGCTGAAAGTTTCAAAGCGATCGGTCACTCGGTGTAGCTATGACAGACATTGAAACTTTTTATGAGGTGAGGTCACTTCAAGTGACCTGGTGACCTGACCTTTAATGACCTTGGTCTGAAATTTTCATAACATGTGTAGAATTGATGTATGATAAGGTGTACCGCCGTTTTTGAGATATTCGCGAAAAACCACAAGGGGGTTGTTCAAACACCCCCCCCCCCCCCAGCAGGGCGCGGGTTAACCCTCGCCGGCCGAGGGAAGGGGGGGGCTGCCCCCCATAGTTTTTTTTTTCGCGATAGCTCCGAATACGCTGGCGATAGAGAGCTGAAACTTGGCATACCCGACCTTTGATTCAAGCCGGATCTTTTGACACCAACCTCATTTTCGGGTCGGGTCAGGTCACTGACCTATGTCGTAATAAGTGAACCTCTGCACGGTCTTCAGATGTCGCAACTTCGCAACGCCCTCACTGCCAGAGGAGCTTTCACAGGGAAATGAAACTTGTAGTGATCTAATATCCATTACTAGTCTCACAACTTGTACCTATATCTCGGATTTTTCCTAAAGGTCATATGAGATCAGGTCATTTTCGTGACCTCATCATTATAAGTCGATGGAGAAAAATAAAATTGCTATTCTGACCCCGGGGACAGTGGCGTATCCAGGATCTTGAAAAGGGGGAGGCCAAACCTACTCAAGGGGCCCCACCCTTACCTGAGGGGCCCCAGTGGTAGAATACTTAACCCACGCACAGGTGCGGTTTTTTGCCACTTTCGCCATGTGAGGGAGCCTTTTTAGGCACGCTTGGCAATATAAAAACTCTGAAGGCTCATTCTGGCCTCTGAAAGCCTCTCTTCGGCAACAGAGTGAACGACTCTGGCCTCAGCCGGCCCCATAATGGCCTCAGGAGACCCATGCTGACCTCCCAGGACCCCATGCTAGCTCTTTGGAGCCTTTGAGTCAGTCTAATGGCCCTATGCCGCTCTCGAACCCACGCCGGTCTCTAGAAGCCCATGCTGCCCTCTGAGGGTTCCGCGCCGGCTTCTAAGGGCCAAGCTCCTACCTCAGGGAACTCAAACATGCATAAGATCTGAAGTATGGCTGCCGAGGCCCTCGAAGTGGCTTTAATGGCCCGACGCCAGTCTATGAAGGCCCCGTGCTGGCTTCTGAGGGCCCAGCACCAGCGTCTGAAGTCAGATGACAGCTGGCCCCACGCTGGCCTTAGAGGGCTCACGCTGGTCACAGAGGGCCTCACACTGGCCTCAGTGGGCTCCACATTATCTTCAGAGGGCCCAAGCTGGTCTCAGTGGCCGGTGGGCCTCAAACTGACTTCACAAGGCCCCACGCCGCTGGGCTTTGTAGACCCCAAGCTGGACATAGACAGCCCTACACTGAACATGAGGGTCCCACACTGGCCTTAGAAGGCCCAGCACTGTCCTCAGAAAGCCCCACAATGGACTTAGAGAGCCCCACGCTAACCTTAGAGGGCTCCACGGCTGGCCTTAGAGGGCTGCGCGCTGGCTCCTTAGGGTTCTACGCCAGCGTCAAAGGGTCCCACCCACGCCCAAGTCTAAGCTTCTGGAGGACCGCCGAAGCGGCCTCTGAGGGCCCCCACGCTAGCCTCTGGGGCTCAGCCTCAGCCTCTGATGGCCCTAACACGGCCTATGAGGGCCCTACGCCGGCCTCTGAGGGCCACCAAACGGCAAAATTAAAATAGTTTGACGTAGTTGACTTTATTTAAAGACTTAATGCCTAATGACTTTATTTAAGTTTGGGCCAGTACTTCGGATAAGGCCCTGAAGGTCGTTTCTCTTGGGACACCCAAGCATGCACGGACATCCAGAATTTCGCCCAGAAGGGGGCAACCTGCTCTCGAAGGGCCCCGGGTTACCTGGGGGCCACTGACAACCCAGGCAGGGACGTATCTAGAACATTTCGATGGGGGGGGGGGATTGGGCACAGTGAGTCCGGTCCCCTTGCGGACGGGCCCCTCTTGTCTGTCTGTCTCACTGTCTGCCTGTCTGTCTGTCTGTCTAGGCCCTGAGAAAATGTGGAAAATTGGCAGGTAAAGTATCATTTTGCCTGAGCAATGTGCATAAAATGCACGGTCTTTTATGAAGAAGCGAAGCGAGCGAGCCGCTCAGAGTCGCCGGTGTTGGTCCCTCAGACGTGTCTGTGAAAGGCCGTCAGATGCGCTGGTGCGGGGTCCACACAGGCGCCGTTGTGGGGCCTTAGGGCTTAGAGACGCTGGTAGGGGTCGTCATAGGCATGTAAGGGGCCCTGAAAGTTACTAGTGGCCCTTCATAGGCCGGCAAGGGAACCTCAGATGCCGGTAAGAGGCCCTCTGAGTCGCTGGTAAGTGGCCGTCAGATGCGCTGGTATATGTAGGGCCCTCGGAGGCGCCGGTGAGCGGGCCTTCAGAGCCGCCGATGTAGGCCGTTAAGAGGCGCTGGTGTGGGAACCTTAGAGGTGGCGGTTTGGGCCCTCCCAGGCGCCATTCTGAGGCCCCTCAGAAACACTGGTGTGGGCCGTGTGGCATAACAAACAGGTGTGGGGCCCTTACAGCTGATCTCTCATTAGCCTTCAAGGACCCTCAGAGGCCGGCAAGGTCCTTCAGAACCTGGGGTGGGGCCCTTCTGGAGATAAGTGTGGCTACATAATAGCCCATGGCGTGTCCTCAAAAGCCCCGTGGTGTCCTTTCACTCCTTTCCAGTTGAAGCGTGGCCAGGGCGGTCCCTCTGATGTCAATTGGCACCGTAGGGCCCCTCGGGCCCGAGTGGACCCTAAACCATATAACGGACACGTGTCCCCTCGCCCCTGGCTATGCCATTGAATCCAAGTGATCAGGGGCCCTTTAGGTAATCAGGGGCCTCTCAGGTGACTGCAGGGGCTTTTCAATTGATCAGGGGCCCACCAGGCTACCGTGACCAGGGGACCCTCTGATAATCAGGGGCCGGTTATACCAGGGGCTCCTCGGGAAACTAAGGGCCTTCATGTGACTGCAGGAGGTACTCCCCGGGTAAGCATGGCCCCTCAGGTGACCAGAACTTCTTCAGATGACTGGCCAGGGGCCATACAGGGGTCAGGGGCCCATGGGTAACTAGGGGCCACTCAGATAACCAGGGGCCCCTCAGGTAACCAGAGGCCCCTCGGATAACCAGGGGCCCCTCAGGTAGCCAGGGGCCCTCGTAACCAGGGGTCCCTTACCAGGAGTCCTTCAGATAACCAGGGGTCCCTCAGGTAACCAGGGGCTCCTCAGGTAAACAAGGGTCCCGTGACCAGGGACCCTCAGGTAACCAGGGCCCCTCAGACAACCAGGGGCCCCTCAGGTGACCAGGGGCCCCTCGGATAGCCAGGGGTCCCTTAGACAACCAGGAACCTCTCAGATAACCAGGGGCCCCTCAGATAACCAGGGCCCCTCAGGTAACTAGGGGCTCGTCAGATAACCAGGGGCTCCCCAGGTGACCAGGGGGACCCTCAGGTAACCAGGGGCCCCTCAGGTAGTCAGGGGCTCTCTGGTAGTTAGGGGCCCTCTGTGTTCGTCACTCTGATAGATATTGCTCTTTGATATTAGTTTTTCTTACGAGTAAAAGACGTTCTGTCTGGTACTGGAATTAAGACAGGGAGACCCCGCCATTCTGGGGGCGGAGACCCAAAACGCCTTCGTCACACTGGTCCCCCTGAGTTATCCTTGGACCTCAGGCCCCCGAGACCCTCTTGGGTACGTCACTGCACTCAAGTGACCCAAACTTGCAAGTCTGATCCCAAAGGGGAGGCCATGGCCTCTTGGCCTCCCCCCTGGATACGCCACTGCCCGGGGACGATCTCCAACTATCTCAAGCACACAGAATCGCGATTTGATACACTCCTTGCAAGGTTGAATGCGTCACTTTTGCAATGTGAACCTTGCGTGACGTCATTTATGATGTCATCAAGGTCATATTAGTTTTTCGTCAATAACTCCCGAAAAAAAATTGAGCTAGCGAGTCGGGAAAGCCACCAATGGACTCAGGAAGA